AGGTTTGCTTTTCACTGTTCTACTCTTCCGGGACTAGCTGTGGCTTCCCAACCCACAGAGAAGCAGAGAAATCTTAATATGGGCAATTTATTTCCTTTTTCTATATTATAGCACTCTCCATAGATACCAGTAAAGATACCACAGCTTTCCTCAACTGGCATTTTCTAGATGTGTTCAGACGGCAGCTTTCAACATCTCCAGTTGCAAATTCTGGGAATTTCCGTCCTTACATAGTGACAAAGTGTTGGGTTAGGAAAAGCTGCCCTGATTTCCAAAACAATTCTAAAAACAATTGCTTTGAATACAACCAGGTATTTTCCTGCTGCAAGCAATTTTATAAAAGAACAAAAGAAAGAGCAACTGGCGGGGTTTTTTTTTTCCCCAGGAGCACAGGACCAAGGGTTTGTTTACGTAACCAAAAAATGGAGAGACACACAGGCGGGAAAAAAATTAAAAGCAAGAAAGGACATTCAGAGACAGAATAGCAAGGTGAGTATTTGATGCCTGGGGATGCAGGTAGAGGTTAAATCCTAAGGACACCCATTTAACAGCTGGCATGCCAGAATCCAGAAAGAAAAAGGAAGTAGATAAAGTAGTTCCCAAGCCCACTAGTTGTTGCATTTACAAACCCCCTGGATAAGTGGACGGAATCAGCTGTCAGCGCACCTGCACCCTTTCCTCACCTTGGCAATGGTGTTTGTCTCTTCCTTATGAAGCCCATGATTGTTGCCAAAGGCCGTCTGTCCCACATTCTGTGCACGAAGGCAACAGAAAAGAGCCTTGAAGATGCTCCGGCCACGAGGCTTCTTTGGAGAGGATTTGGACACCAACACTACAAACAGAAGAACAGTTACAGTAAGAACTTGTTGCAGGTCTGCAGCTCAGGAGAACTTTTCATCCCCTTGAGGTAAGCGTTTTTGGCAAGCTAATCACAGGGACTTTGGATAATGACTAGTCAGAAATAATCAACTTTTTTTTTTTAAAAAAAGAATCCTTTTTCACATTCTCAATTGTACTTTACACAGAGTGGGACAACAACATGGATCCATCTGCCATCAATACATCTCTTCTCTTCTTTGCTTTATTGCCGTCGATAAGTCAGCTTTGGGGAAAGGACTTCATTTTGTCAGAGCTTATGAAAATAATGAAGGGGCTGAATCTTGCCTCCTTTTCTCACAATGTTCAGGAGAAACCAGCAGGTGGCACTCTAGATCCACAAATATTGACCAATCCATGCATGCTCTTCCATCATCGACATTATGGGAAGACTGGGAAAACTTACGTAGGTTATAGGCAAGTCCTTGACTTACAATTGGTCCTTTAGCGACCGTTTAAAGTTACAATGGACTTCCACACAGCTACTTAAAACCCAGTTCCAAAGTTCAGTGTTTTATTTCTGATTTCCAGCAAAAAAAAAAAAAAAGACCCATTGGGTTCACTTAAACGACTGGTGTAAAAAGGGCTGTAAAATCGGGCATGGTGACGTGGAGACTCGCTTAATGAACACAATTTATGAACATAATTCTGGGTTTAATTATGGCCATAAGTCAAGGGCTACCTGCACACGAATACAGTTGGATGGAATTACCTAGAGGTTAAAAAAAAATGCCACGGGCTGTGGCCATTGTGTCACTGCAGACAAAACATATCCAGAAAGGATTACTAAAGATAGGGGCTGAAAAGCATGAGGCTCCCCATGCAAGGAAATGGGACATTTTCACAGGCAGCCAATGAGAAGCAGGGAAACTCAGGAGCCACAGGACCAATTAGGTACTTCAGGGCAGAACTGTAGGTTGCACTCTACAAGCCATGTATGCTTTCATGAGTCCGTCCAGTAGGACTGGATATGGAGAGCTAAGCCCCACCTCACCACCATATTTTGTTACAAGGCATTAGCCATATACACTCATTGTTCTTAAGTAGATTTATCCAAAAAAAGTGATTGTTGTTGCTGAGCTTTTGAGCAAGATCCTGGAATGATTCATCTCAATGAGTAGGAAAAAAGCATATTGTTTCTGGACAGTGTTACATTTAGTGTTTGTTCTTACATGCATTCTCTCATGTTTTGTTTTTAATCTGCATTTTTCCCAAATAGCTAGGAAAAAGTCCATCTAAACATACAATGTTGAGTGCATTTTTCCATAGTGTATGGTTCTCTCTCTCTCTCTCTCTCTCTCTCTCTCTCTCTCTCTCTGTGTGTGTGTGTGTGTGTGTGTGTGTATTCTGAAGTAAGCACAATACCGTAGCACCAGATTTACTTTTATAGCTGATTTGAAAACTTCAGAGAGGTCTATAAGAAGACTAACAATGTTCACACCTGCACTGTAGCCTGGAAGATGCAGCTCGGCTCATCTTCCATTGGAATTCAAAAACTTAACCCTGTTTATCTGCATTCCACTAACAGTAGATAAAAATTATTCTGCAAGACCTCTCTTGCAACAAAAAGAGTTGATCCAGGTTTTCTGAATGTAACAGCGGCGCGATTTCAAAAAACTGCACTGTGAACCATCAAATCCAAACTGTCATTCTGACTTATGCGGGAATGTAACCTCCATATCTGTACGAAAGCAACAAAGAATGAAGTGGCCCAATGGATAGTCCAAAATACAGTAGCCCCAGAGCCTTTTAAAATGATCTGCAGAGTTTTGATTATTCCTCTGCGTTACTGAAGTCCCAAGAATTTCCATTTAAAGGTAAATATTTTTTCATACTCTTCAACTGCGATACATGTAGAACTCGAAATACTCCGTATGATACAACACAGAAAGTAGTATCATACTGCTTTCTATTTCTTTGCCATCGATAAACAGGGACTCTTTGAAACAACGAACCTGATGTCTTAAAACTTCTGCAAAAGCAGAGATATTTAGACATGCTCACTCTGCAAACCACGGAAGGATCTCTTAGAGGCTGAGTAATCAAAATCCTATTTGTATGTGAAACAGATTGGAAGAAAGAGAAACAGAAAGTCTAAGAGAGATTCCAATGTTAAAAGGCAACAAACCTTGTTCTTATGTGAAGGAGGTAAATTATCAGGAAAAAAAAGCATACCAAATTTACATCCCCAAACCTACAAGGGAACTGCTCCCCCACCCCCCATTAAACCCAGACCTTGCTTTGAATGGATACCCTGGGGGTTGGTTCTCAAGGTCACTGTATAATATCCAGAAATAAATCCATAGATAGGTACACCCTTACACTTCAAATTGGCCATCTGAAGTCAGACACTGCCCCTCTGGCTCTGGCCTTGGTTAATGGAAAACTTTTCATTTGCTCAGTTAGGAATCCCAAAGAACCTTTCATCGAGTAAGAGGGGAGGGGAAAAGCCAGAGATACAGATTTGGGCATCAAGGGGTTGGTCGAAAAGTTCAGGGCATGATTAGAATGATAACTGATGGTCAGCAGATATTAGTTTTTGATGGACTATAATGATTCGAAAGAATGGATGATCTGATAGCCTCCAAATATTTTGAGGGAGCTTCATTAACTTGATGGGTCAGAGAGCTGGGCACTGTTAGCCAAGATATGAATCCATGTAGGTTGCAGAAACTGACGTGAATTAACTGACCATTGTTACCTATGCGGTCTTGTTCAGAGCTCACTGTTTATCAAGATTGCACTTTCCTGATCCCTTTCCATGAGTGAGCAATGGCCCTACCTGCTGAATGATCGCAGGACATACTCCCGATTTACCTCTGGAAACATGCACTGAATCTAGGTTAACAAGAAAACAAAACCAGTCAATGCAAGGAAGACCCAAGTAGCTATTGACTCCTCCTTGATTTCAGGTTTAAGGATCAGGTTGCCTAATCCAGCTTCATCTAAATAAAAGTTAAATTCTTATCTCAAGTGGAAGGATGACAACAGCTAAGAAAATTCTGGAACAGATTATTAAGTATGAGATTCTGACAGAAAAAAAAATAACATGTGGACTGGACTAGGTCACCATTCAACAGACAGAGAGCAACTGCATCTGATGGGTGTTATACCAAGGGTTTCTTGTGAAGCTGAAGAGGCAAAGAGCAAAGAGGAGAGGTCCATTCTAGACACTGTGTTGTTGGCCACAAAATCTGTTGAGATGGATATGGGACTTAGCAAAGGTCATAGAGGATAATATCAAGATTTTGCAGGATCAAGTAGGAACACATCAGGCAGAAAGAATCAAACTGAATTTCAACGAAGAAAATCAAATAAGAAAATCAAACATATGAATACAGGATCAGAAAGAGCAGCACACGCAAATAAGGAAGTGGGCATCTTGGGGACTCAGAAGCTGAATATGACCCAATCATATGATACAGCTGCAAAAAATTACATGGAATCCTGTTGCATCCACAGAAAAATAGCATCAATATCAAGAGAAGTCGTTGCTTTTGAATAATTTGCATTGGTCATTCCATACCTAGAATATTGCATTCAGGTTTAGACATATTTTAGAAAGGACAATAACAGACTCGAGTGTGTCCAAAGGAAAGCAACCAAGCTGGAGGAATGGTTGGAGATATCAAGTGTATTTAGTCTAGAAAAGACCGCAGGAAGACATGTCAGTTGTCTTCAAGCATCTGAAGTATGTCACATATAAGGAGGTATTATTCAAAACAGTTGAAGACAGGACGGAACAAATCAAAGGATGAATTGATTACAAACTAAATTTTAACTGTAAATTGAAAAAGTGTCCTAAAAGTAGGAACCATTCAATAATGGAACAGACTATATCTTAGGAGATGGTGAATTCTCCCCAAACTTGGCAACTTTAAGACTTGTGGACTTCAACTCCCAGAATTGAAGTTGAAGTCCACAAGTCTTAAAAGTTGCCAAGTTTAGAGACCTCTGTCTTATAGGATGTAACCAAAGCAAAGAGGTAGTAGGAAGTAATTGCCAAGAAAATGGTGTTACTTATTGTCTATGGAGATTCTCAGTCATCCAGGTCATGGTTGTCCCAAAGGTGCTTTTTCAAAAGGCAACTGGCCTTTGGTTTTCCTTGAAGATGTTTCGCGTCTCATCCAAGAAGCTTCTTCAGTTCTGACTAAAGAACTGTGTTACTTGTTCATAGGCACTGTTTTCCTTCTGGATTAAGGTTGAAGTCTCTGCTGAAGGTTTCCCAGGATAAGAGGTAGGATTTTGAAGTAGACATGAAGGCTTATGTTAACATTTAACTAAGGAACGAAATTTGGCGATGGATGATAAAACTTATCTCGGGAAATGTTAAACCATGGCCCTAGAACCTAAATATGTTTGTTGATTTCATGCTTTCAGCAAACTGCACCTTAACCCTAGTTTAAAAGGAAAAAAAATCCAGTCAATATTGCGACAACTGGAGCAAAATTAAAAGCTGGCAGTAAGCACTATAGAAAATATATTTTCTTTTCCTTCATCTACACTGCTGCTACCACCAATTTCTCTTTTCCTCCTCCTTCTCCTCTCCTCCTGTCTGTCCCATCCTTCTCTGAAAGCTGTCAAGTTCAGCGAAGGTATATCTGCAGTAGATATTATAACTGCCAACAAGCAAGACCCTACAAGGTAAATTCAAGTAGGTATTTCTGATCCACAAAGTAGATCTGAAAAATAATTTGTGCACATGTATTTGCCATCTTTGCAAATTAGTTTTGGATACTATCAGTCACAGAAAGCAGCAAAAACATGTTGGTTGAGTTTGGGTCAATGATTACAGATGGCCCAGGAAAAATATTCTACTCAACCATGAACTTAACTTCACAGGATTGTAATGGGGACAAAAAGGAAGGTAAGAAGGAAGGTATTGCTGTGCAATTCAAAAATCAAAATGTTGGTCACGCTTAATGTTGGAGATTTCACAAGGAGTCGTCTACATATTTTCATGTCTTTGGTTACCCCCAAAATCTGGAAACTTCTTTTTAAGAGAAGAAGAAACCTTCTTGAGCAAACTTATCTATCACTCAGTGCTCTGCAAAGAATTGCCAAAAGACAGAAACTCCACATCTAGCACTTTTCAAATAAAAATCAAACTTGCACTTTCCAATGTATGTCTCTGTTCCTTCCATCACAGATCTTCAAGGTTCTTTTTCTGACTTTTGAAGCAACACAATGAACAAGCAATGCACAGATTTTAAGATGACCACAAAAAACTTCTCTAGATAAAAACTTGTAGTTGATAAGGAACTTCACACCAAGGTACAGCTTTTTTCTTTTTTGCTTTTGCTTAGCATAGGGGTGTCAAACCGGTACCCTATGGGTCAGATGTGTCACATGCAGGCCACACCCACCCCAGTTCCACGTATGGGAAAAATGTCGCGAAACATCACGTGACGGCAATGTGGCATGGTAAGTTTGACAGCCATGGCTTAGCAAGTTATTTAAAACCAACCTAATATGGCTTAGTCAACAAACTATGGCCAAGCAAATTATGGTTCAGCACAATATGCAGAGCTAATCAATGTAAGGTAATTCCAGCATGTAGGCTCATAGAGAAAAAATCAGGTTATAAAATGAAAGAGAGATCTGGAGGGAAGAGGAGCAGAGCAAAATTAAGCAATAATTATTAAGCATAAATATCTCATATTTCATTAATGGTAGAACATAGATCGCTTTAAAAGGGTTTTTTCTTTCCTCCAGAGGGATCCAGGAATCTTCTATCTCATGAACTTGGGTTAAACTGAAGAAAGTGTTTGGGGTCACAAAGGAAGGGGGGAGAGACAGGTGAGAACGTGTGCACTATGACACTGTGATGCAACTCTACTCCTTCATGCTTGCACGCAACATTACAATGTGGGTACAAAAGGAGAGGGCTTCGCTGTGATGTCACAATGCATGTTTTGATACTTTGGTGACATCATAGTTTGCAACAGATACTTAAGTGTAGATAATTTCAGACAGGGAAAAGATATGAGGATTCAACCTCTCTGCTTAGGTAACAAAGCCCTTGCACCATTAGATGTTTTAAGGTGTTAAAAAGTAATTAGCACCTATTTTAACTCCTGCCCTGTATTTTGAGCAAACACCCCCCCCCCCCCAAATCCAATCACCAGGCACTGAGGCAACCCACATTTTTTTCTCCATGCCTATTCTCATTCTCAAACTACATCCATCTTCCTCCCTCGCTAATAGAAATTCTGCCTTTTGGAGATTTTGTTCTGCCAAACCAGTTTCTCTATTCTTAGTTTCACAGCCGAAAGCCTAGAATGATCATAATTACTATCCAACCAATGCCTCAAATTCAGTCACAAATCTTTATAACATGCTAACTGGGTGAGAAAAAGATGTCACTATGAAAACATTTTTTTCTCTGTAGTACTTTTACTCTAAATGTACACACTTTCTGCGGGTTGAGACAGGTATTTTGCATTCTGCCCACTTCAACTGAAAATATAAATTGATTGTATCATAAAATGCTCATCCGTGAAAGGCAAACATCTACAATAAGGGGATTTTAAAAACTCAAATGCTGTATTATTTCAACATACTCTTGGAATCACGGGCCAAAATATCTTGCAAAAATTTTCCTTTGTCTGCTTAAAACTTGCTACCCTTTAGGCCTACAAGTTTTATGGGTATAGGGAATTTACAGGTAGCCTCGACTTATAACCATAACGGAACCTGTTTACTATGGCTGTTAAGTAGTCATGGTCATAAAGCAAATCACCTATGTGACCATCCTGATTTTATGATTTTTATGGCAGACATAAAGCGACCCCCAGAGTAGTTAAGCAAATGCTGTAATGTTTTTTTTTTTTAAAAAAAGGTCATATAACAATGACACATTGCAAACGGCCATAAATGCAGGCCGGTTGCCAAATGTGTGCAAGAAAATCAGAACTGGCTCATAATATCCCAGGAAAGGTCCACTGTAACTATGAACAGTCGCTGAGCAGCCTTAAGTGAAGGACTACCCTATATCTTGCCTTCTTTCCACATGCACCATGGGACTTTTCCCAAGCAGAAGATAAAACATCTTCTGCGACTGTGATTCTTACATGGGCAACACAATAAGGAAGGAACAGAAAAATACTATTTTTGGATTCTTAAGCCTTTCAGAGCTTAAAAGAAAGAAAAAAAGGCTACAGTAAAGTTAGCCCTCTCAATTTTGCACCATCAATGACAAGGAAGGCTGACAGTTGTAGCTCGGCCACATCTAACGGTCAAGGCATCAGGCTAAAAAGCAGGAGGCTGTGAATTCAAGTCCCACCTTAGCCATGAAACCCAGCTGGTGATTTTGGGCTAGTCATTCTCTCCCAGCCTAACCCATCTCACAAGGTTGTTATTGTTGTGGGGGAAATAGGAGAAGGAAGGTGTGTTGGATATGTTTGCCATTTGAGTTATAAAAATAATAAAAACAGAACATAAATAAAATAGTTGTGTCTAAAATGTTCTACTGCTTACATCAGGGGTGTCAAACTTCCGGCCTGTGGACCGGATGTATCACATGTTGGCCCTGCCCCCACCCGGTTTAGTGAAGGGAAAAACAGCCCCAATATGTCATGTGATGCTGCCAGTTTGACACCCCTGGCCTACATTTACGTGAACTAAAGATAAGCCTCAGGATACTAGAGGTATAGAAGGCAGTGGTGGGATTCAAATTTTTTTACTATCGGGTCTGTGGGCGTGGCTTGGTGGGCATGGCAAGGGAAGGATACTGTAAAATCTCCATTCCCTCCCCACCCCACTAACCTGCTTTCCAGATCAGTTCTCCTGTGCAGGGCAACAAAAGAAGACCCAGCCCTCGAGAGGCAGAGAATAGATGGGGGGATGGCGCCAGAAGTGGTATTTGTCAGTTCTCCGAACAACTTAAAATTTCCACTTCCAGTTCTCCAGAACTGGTCAGAACCTGCTGAATACCATCTCTGATAGGAAGGAAAAAGTGAAGGAGAAGAGGAGCTCTAAAATGACTTTTCCCAATCGGCCCTTCCTATGCTATACTATTCCTTATCTTTACCACACTGAGATTCTTTCAAATCAGTGCCGTCTCCTGCCAGTTATGCTCCACTTGTACTGTATGAGAGGCCAAATATTATAACAAATCCCGCCTTTGCTTTTAAGGTGCAAACACATGCTTTCTCCATTTATTAGCATTATTTCAGCTGGCTGCATTATCTCCACTGTTTTGACCTTTAACCAAGAACAGCCACCATTTTTTCTTTCTAGCCAACTCTCTATTAGGTGATTAACAATTAACCAGTGGAACGGCTTGCCTTCAGAAGTTGTGGGTAATCCATCACTGGAGGCTTTTAAGAAGAGACTGGATGTAAGGCATGTCAAATTTTTCAATTTCCAAATATTAGGGGTGCTCAAAAGTTGTGGCATGCCTTAGGGATTGTAAAGATATTTTGATATAATTAATATAATTTAGATGTGCCTGGTAAGTAACTACATAAATATCATAACTTTTTAACATTTTGTTTGTTTAATTTATCTGTCTGGAATAGTATAAGGTCTATTTCATGAGCAGACAGTTGGACTAAAAGGTCCTTTCCAACTCTGTTATTCTATTATTATTCTATTTTTATTCTATTATTTCCTGGTCATGTGGGAGGGATTAAGAAGGCAGTACTTCCTTCTCTTTGTTTTTCTCCAAACACCTTAACAAGAAACAAAAAATCTAATTTGTTTTTGCTAAATGTGCTGATATGTAATGAACACATCTACCTGAATGCCCATCAACCTAGCTAGAATGTAACCACTTTTTGCTGAATAAACCATGATAGCTTCATTCACAGAAATAAAAATAAAATAATAGGACTGAACTATATTAAGCCAAACAAACTACATTGCAACATATCCTTATTTGTGACCAGACCACTGACTACTTTATGCTACACTAGAAACAAAGAAATGGAAACAAGAAATTCTGGCCAATGGAATCACTCCTTGCCAGATCCACTGAAGGCTGGCTTAAGGGTTAGCAGAAGACTGAGAGAACTTGATAAACTGGGAGGAAAAAAATAAATTATGTTTAAGGATGAGCCATTTCTATAACCTCAGACATGAACTTTGGTATTAGCAAGCCAGTGTGGTATAGTAACTAAGGTGCTGGCCTAGAAACCAGGAGACCGTGAGTTCAAGTCCCACCTTAGGCATGGAATCCAGTTGGGTGATCTTGGGCCAGTCACTCTCTCTCTGATAAGCCTACCTCACTGGGTTGTTGTTGTTGTGAGGAAAATATGAGGGAGAAGGGATATTAGGTGTATTGAGCACCCTAAATTGTTTATATAAATAATAAGAGTGGGATAAAAATCTAATAAATAAATATTGGAAAGCCAAACGAAGTTTTCGCTCTTGAATAACTTAAAAGCATCAAACTTGAATGGTGGCTACACTTTTGAGAAGGAGTATGTGCTCAACCACTTCAAACTTTTCTTAGCCCCAAAAGCCACCATTTACAGAAATTGCTCTTCAAATTTAAAAAAAAAAAATCACCTAAATCATGGCTGTCAAACTCCCGGCCTGTGTCACGTGCTGGCCAAACCCACACCCGGTTTAGCGAAGGGGGGAAAAAGTCCCGATATGTCACATGACTCTGCCATGACGACATGAGTTTGACACCCCTCACCTACATCAGTAACTTTGAAAGCACAACAGCTGAAGTTTATCTGAATACTAAAAGTTTGAAGGGAGACATTCATTAAAACCTTTTTGAAAACAGTAGACTTACACCCCCCAAAAAGCTTTCTATTCCATCGGCATTACATAAAATTATCTTGGCAAAGCCACCAGAGAAAATCCCATGACATCCTCATTTGATTCCTGGTTCACACTTTATTATCATAAAAC